ACGATTTCGGAAGCAGTACGCGCTGCGTACTGCAATACGCCCCGCGTAATTGAGGCTTCCAGCCTCCTATAAATAGGATGCGAAGGCAGCCGAGTCTTTTGCCAATTTCTTCTCTTCTCTCTCCTGTTTTGCATCGTTTTGCATGCCAGAAATACCTCGAAGCCCCGGTATTATTCTCGAGCCCCGAGGCAAGTCCCGAGATCCTGAAGATCCTGAGAAGTGCGGTTTCCGAGCCGAAGCTCTGCCCGCGAGAAGTTCGATTTTTGTGGAGATCTTCCAGATCTGCTGTGGATTACTACTTCTGTAAGTCGTAGTGCTGTCCGATCATCTTCTGATCAAGTGAGTGTATACTACCTTTCATAAACGCAATAATAATACAGGTATGATTTGAGTGTATTAAGTTTATTGTCGTTTATACGTGTGAATGCGTTGTTACTTTCTCCTAACGTATAACTATGAAGTATTTTATACGATATACGTGTTATGTGTATATTTTGTTGTTATGTGTGTGAATGTATATTCACTTTCTTCTATCTTACAGATCTGATTATTTCTATATGAAATACGTGTTATGTGTGTGTGCCTCATCTGTTATATGGAAAATGTATTGATCAAGCATGCTATACAAGTTTGAAAATATGTATAAAAATGTATGTTTTTATCTACTAATATGTTGGGTAGAACATGTGTAGATAGTTGGTGTGTAATAAACAGATGAGAGGCCTCGTTGTTGTTTTGATCCAGTCATCTAGCGGAATTTAGATGACGACCACAGACTTTTCTAGACAGTCCAGTGGAACACTAGCAGGCTCATAACCTGTAGGTGTTAATGAACTTGGGTGTTCATTCGCTGTATTCCATCCCCCTCATGGTTGCCTTATTTGACTTATATTGCTGAGGAACCCCCGCAGCATGTGTTGTCACCCCGATGAAAATATTCTTAGATTAGGTCCCTTGTGTTAGTTATTTTAGGGACGTAAAGTGAGAATAACGGGAATGGGTAACTGGGATATTGTTGGTTGATAATAATTAATTTAATTATTTATTGTGGGTTGAAAACCCTATATGCTCACCAGGCTCCCAAGCTTGACCCACTCAGTTTTATTTGTATTACAGGAAGTGGCGCAAGGGCGTAAGATGGATGAACCATCAAGTTGTTTTGTTTACAAGTCTGTATATGTAAATATTTGTTGAATGACTTGTAATGTTATTGTTTATGCTTGTTGGTCTATATCGGAACATGACACCCCGAGTTTTGATTATATAATGAAAAATACATTTCTTTTATGAAATGCTTTGGTAAACATTGTTTTATCATGTTTTGTTTTTTGGAACAAATTCCGCAACTCTTTCAAATCAAAAGGATTTACTCTGAATTTATTTTAAAAGCATAAATGAAAATCGGTCTTTTCTGGCCGAGATTTTGGGGATGTCACATCCGACGAAGGTGCCGGTTGGGTGCTCGGTGTCAAGTAAAGACTTGGACACACTTAGTAAACTATTTAACATATGATAACATATGTTCACATACAATTAGTACATTTAATACTAATCAAACAAATATACGCATCCTAAGAGCGGAAAACACTTTGGTTAAGTGTTTGGAGTGTCCCGGGTAACATTTATGGGTGTAAATGGCTTAGGAATGGAGTTTACTCTCCAAGAGTAAACTCACCATATGGTGTTTACGGCCCAATGAAAACTCCCCATGAGTTTACGGCCGTAAATTCATGGTGAGGGGTTCTAGGATGCTTTAAGGCCTTATACTTCTTCATGGAATTTTGCTAGGTCCAAAACTAAATGGTATGAAGGGATTTAAGGCTTTTAAAGGGGCAATATGGGAGTTTACGGCCCATGAACCACCCCTATGGGAGTTCACGGCCGTGAACTCCTATCCTTTGGTTTTATGGAAGTTTTAAGCCCCTAATTTACTTCTAGTAATTTGTAATAATAGTCTAAGGCCATTTGGGGGACAAAAACCACCTTTTGACATAGTTTGGAGGTGTTTACGGCCTAAGCACTTGCTTGGGCCGTAAACTCCTTTTTACCCCATATTTCCTTGTGTTTGAATGTTCTAAACCCGAAATAGCAAGCCCCTAATTTATGTATTAAGCCTAAGGGTGGTTTAGGAGTGTTTTTGGGGTATTTTTGCAATGATAAGAGGTGTTTACAGCCTAAGCATGTGCTTGGGCCGTAAACTCTCTTTTATGCCCTAAAATCATGTGTTTTGATGATTAAACACTCCTAGACAAATTTCTTAATTGGTTCCTAGGCTCAATGGGACAAGTTTGGGTCATTTTGGCCTCATTTAAGGGGTTTACGGCCTAAGGAGGATCTTGGACCGTAAACTCCTTTTCAACAGCTTAAATGGTCAAATTTTGAGCTACATTCACGAGTCATAATGTTTAGAATAGGTTAGGGTATAGAGAATTACGATTTGGAAGCGTTTGGTTGCGGATTTGAGTCGAAAACGTGATTTATATGAGAGAGAGTATAGAGAGAGGGTGAAAAGGTTAAAATGGAGTTTACTCCCCTTTATATAGGGGCACGACTTGGGGCTCAGCGGAAATCTACCCGATACTGTCGTTTAACGGGGCTTTTGGTCGCACCCGATTTTGTGGTCGTAATAATAAAAACTAACTTTTTCCAATTAAATGGAAATGTGGATTATGTGTTTTTATTTATCTTATCACGACGTTAACGACATAAAAATATAAATAAATAAAACATTTATTTATTTTACGACCCCGAATTAACGGAACTTTTTATAAAATGGAATATTCCGTTAACGGTAACGGGGTAATGTAACGGAATAAACTTTGGGTTGTCACACCATTGACATCTATCATGCGTTCGCCATATCTATCTGTTATCAGATTATTTCAGTTTGCTACCTAAACTGGGTTATATCTTTTGTACAAATTATCATATTCAACATAGTTTCTTGTACTAAGGGCTTGTAGCATATCCCTAAATAAGGGCTTATGCTAGTGCCAAAGTTAAAGAACTTCAAACTAAAGACCTTGTTTGACGAAACTAATTCATCACCCCAGTCCGTGAGATGTTTCCCTAGTTGTAAGGTATTTGTTTTTTATCAGCAACAAGTATTGCTGAAAAATAGAAACATGAAGTGTGGGTGAGTATGAGGAATGTACGACATTTTTTTTTGATTTTTTTTCAAAGAAGAAGTGGACTAAAAAGCAGTGTTGTAAAACTCGCCGAGTTGGCCGATTACTCCTCCGAGTACTCGCTACTCCCCCCCCCTTGCCGAGGCGAGTTACCTAATCCCGAGTACTCCCCGATCGACCCCTTACGGACTGAGTAGTGTTGTGAAATTCGGTCAACTCAGTGATTAATATGTATAATATACTTAATGGTTTATTATTTAACACACACACACATGTGATTATTACTACATATTTATCTTAAATTTTCAGTAATTAATCACGAAGTGAGACCATTATGTGTTTTTCGTTTTTTGTGTATTCACATATATCCGATTTTGTTATATATTTCAATCAACTTATGATTTTATCTTATGATTTTAACATATATATTTCCCTAAAAATATTTCTACACAAATTTTCAAATCCGAGTACTCCCCGAGTACTCCCGAGTACTCTCGAGTACTTGTTACTCGGTAGTCGGCCGAACAGGTACCGAGTAACAAGTTCTACAACATTGCTAAAAAGACAGGATTTTGGATGGACAGAAAAGCTCTAACATTAAGTGATTATTATCATCAATAATCTTAAGACACTTTTCTTGACTTAACCTTCCACAACTCCTGTTTAATTACCTAAGACTTAGTCAACTGTAGTAGACATCCCTTTAGTGTTGATGTGATTAGAGCCCTGTTTTTCAAAGCTCCCATAGTCTTCGCCCTTCTGCCCATTCTTCACGTTTAATTATATCTGACAATAGCTCTTATCTCTTTGGTCTTTCTTTTATAATCATGAAGTTTAATTATTTATAATATAAAAATCACCAATTAATGCTAGTCCCCACCTCCATAGCATCAGTCCCCACCTCAATAGCATCAGTCGGTCACAATTTACCTACTTTTCATTTAAGCCCCTAAAGTATGTAAAACATTTAATTTACATCTTCTATTTTTAAATTTTATTTTATACAAAACTCATTAAAGATCTTTATAGATAGTTGAAATAACTTGTATAAAATATAAACTACATCAAACTGGATCGAGACCGAATTGCATCGGGCCATGTTCGAGATATGGGGTAGGAAATAACACTGCTTGTAAATTCTAAGAATTATGTAATCACTTTTAGATTAAAGTATTTGGATAATACTTCTTTATCTTCAAAAACATAAGAAGAAAATGAGAAAGTATGTTTTCGTAAGTACCAAAATTATAACCAAAATATGGTTAAATATTTTTCTTGTCTAAAATCTGTCGCAAGACAGTTTTCTGTTCCAAAACTGTCTTTAACAATAAAAAAATTGTCACAAAAACAGGAATTTTAATAAGAATGATAACAAATTCAAAAACAGGGTTCATTTTCAATGATTCTACCCGAGCCAGGGCTCTGCCCCTTGGACCCCGCTCCTAGAGGCGCTGCCCTCGGACACCCGTTCGTTTAGGGGCTTTGCCCATAAATGACAATCTACTTTGAATTTTGTATAAAATTAAACAAGTGTGCACTCCGCACCTTCGTTACTTGTTTAATATTAATCAAGATTGATTTCGATCAACAAATCAATCTATTACACTTAAATACAGGTAGTGAACCAATTCATCAACAAGCCATACTACTTATATTCGGCTGTTGGTGCAATTATGTTATCAAGTCACTCTTAAATATAATTATGCAGGTTCGTCAACTATCTTATCATACTTAATTTGGTAGAAGTAACAAAGTAGACAAGTAGAGTAATTAAGTCGGGTAACGAGTTATGTTTTATATTAGTATAACTTTTATAAACACATCATACTCTAAATATTAATAAAACAATTAAAACAGTGAATAATGTGTTAGCAACCGGCCATATTTCTTTCCATGTTGCAACTCTATAGATCCCGTGACGAATACCGATATTACATATGTGTATTTCTGCCTCCTATCTTGCTACTAAAATCGAAATTGATTGCCCATTTACAGAGCCATTTCCCAAATTAGCATTTCTTACCGAATCTGCGTCATGCCTCTCAATGTAGAATGCGGGTCGTTTTGGCTCTGGTAAATGCATTTTTTCATTTGTGAGCATAGAAATAACTTCTAACATGGTAGGTCTGTCCATCGCATGTTCTTGAACACACAAGAGACCCACATGGATGCATGTCATTACTTCCTTGGGATTGCATGACTCTTCAAGTATCGGATCCATCAACTCCAAACTTCTGCCTTCGTTCCACTGTTCCCATGCCTGAATCAGGTTAATCATTTACGCAACATTGTTTAAGATATATGTGGAGTCCAAGATTGTCTCTCCAAAAAAGCCCTTATGGAGAAAAGGAAGACTCAAACATATATACACTTATAGGACCATGTCACACTAATGTGAGATACACTAACACCCCCCACATAGATGGGGGTTTGATGAGGACTAACATGGATGTGTTGGGGTCCTATATATCTTGGACTCTACATACTTTTTGGAAAGACAATCTTTGACTCTACCCACATGGATTAACACATCCATGTCTACGCACAATTCCACATCGAGCCTCCATCTTTAAAGGGAAGTATTAGTTTATCTCACATCAATATGACACGGTCCTATAAGTGTCTTTATATATTGGATTTCCCCTCTATCCATAAGGGCTCTTTTCTTTTGGAGAGACGATCTTGGACTCCACATATATTTTACACATTGAGTTAATGACTTTCTTCTCAAACAATAAATAACTTGCATCAAATGAAAAAAACCAGTCTTGGATAGGATTAACTTACTAGCCCAAGAAGGTTGAGTGGGTGTTCCACATCATAGCTCCCATGATTCATCTTGTTGCTCACAATTTCAAGCAACAAAACACCAAAACCAAAGACATCTGTCTTGGTTGAAACCGTGCCTTTCATCATATACTCTGGCGGCATATAACCACTGGATATCACATCAAGCGTTATCATTTGTGAGTTTGTTATAGGAACTCCTACTGAAGACAAGACATGTTATGGACTCACCGTGTTCCAACGACTCTGCTTGTATTTGCTTCAAACTCATTGATCTCAATTAATTTAGCCATACCAAAATCAGATATCTTTGGCTTCAGGTAGTCATCTAGCAATATGTTACTTGCTTTCAGATCTCTATGAATAACCCTCAACCTTGAAAATATATGGAGATATAGGAGTCCTTGAGCAATGCCATCAATGATTACAAAGCGACTATTCCAATCCAGTAATCCTTTCTTCCTAGGATCTTTTAACAAATAAGTAGCAGCATCCAAAGAAATAACCAAGCTCATGTGCAAAATGTAGCAAATGTTAGATCTTACCAAATAGAAAGGAGTCCAAGCTTTTATTAGGCATGTACTCATATACAAGGATTTTCTCTTTCTTCTCAACGCAACACCCTATAAGCCTGACAAGATTAGTGTGTTGAAGTGTGGCAATGAGTTCGGTTTCATTCTCGAACTCCTTGACTCCTTGTTCAGAGCTTCTTGAAAGTCGTTTTACAGCAACCTTTTGCCCATCAACTAAATTTCCCTGTGAAATCCAGCACCTGAGCTTTTATCTGGATTGTTCTTTAAAAGGGTGTCTTTTGGAAGTTTACCTTATAAACTGCTCCAAACCCCCCCTCTCCTAGCTTATTAGTGTTTGAGAAATTGTCTGTAGCAGATGAGATGCTTTGAAAGGTGAAGTAATGCAGCTCAGTGTTCATCTTCTTATCTGTTCGTACATACCTCTGTAACAACTTTTGGATTTTCTTGGAAACCCCTAATTTGTTAATAGGTTACATAGGTAGAATGATTAGTATTGAAGTCAAAACTTTCTACCGTTGTACATCAACTCGAAGTCTAATTTGGGAATTATAGAACATTTCTTTAAAAATATAGAGAAATTATATTGTTGAAAGCCAGGAAGATAACAGAGTGAAAAGTTGAGGTTTATACCTCTAATATGAAGCTTCTTGCATACCAAGTAGCATGATAGGAGTGAAGCCAAAGATCCTATCCCGATGATGAACCAAATCCACTTCTTCTTTTTTGCATTTAAAAAATTCTCTTTTCTTATATGCCAATAACTGTTATGATCATTTGCAGCAAATGCTAGCGCACGCATATTTTATCTTTAAACGAGAATCAACTAAATAAACAATTCTTTGAATTGTTTTACAGTTATATTAATGGGCAAGATTAAATTTTCCATACTCCTACAAAAGACATCCGAAATGAAACAAATACGTAGGAAAGAAAAACAGATTATGTATATTAATAAAGGGCACTTAAATTTGTCGACCAACAGTAAAGCATCAATATTGTGAACTGACTAACCTCTCTCATAAACGATGGTGTAATATACTCTGAATGGGTAATTTTCAGCATGGGTTGGGTTGTATATCCTTTTGCCATAAGTCTTGCACTCTGACCTGTTTGTTGTTCCATAAGTATAAGCTATGCAAGAACAATTACTCCAGCATATTCTTTGGCAATCATATGAAGTCAAGTTATAGCTTTCATCATATTCATATACGTCCCCATATATATATACGTTGCCAATTCTCCTCTCAAAGTAATAGCCTTTCCTACAACTTAACTCTTCAAACTCATATTCAGCACAACCAACACCTGTATTGTACGTTGAGCCTGAGTGGCATTGGATGTAAACGGAAAGAGCTGAAGCCTTAAGCTGACCGCCTAAATGCATCCTCAGAGCTGGCGATGAATCGTATGTTTTTGTTAAATACATGAAGGATTGCTCGGTTTCGTTAGATATATAGTAGAGGCGGACATCAGGGCAAAAATTTTGTAGAGCAGTGTTTTGAAATCCACGATTCTTCCAAGATCCACTCCTCCAGTGGATGTTCCCAGGCCTCAAGATCACGATTTGACCTGTGCCATTTGGGTCTGTTGTGAACCTAAAAGACCCATCGGCTGGAAGCTCGTGACTCCGCCAAGAAGTGAGTGACCATCGATGCCCAGTTTCATCCCAGGAAGAAGGGTGTCTGTTGGGTAATCAAAGCTTTGCCATAAAACCCGTTTAACAGACCCATCTGGATGTAGTTCTTGCAGTATGAAATTTCCATTATCCAACAGGGTTATGGGTTAATCGGTTTTATTATTTTAGGAGTTTATTTTGTTTAGTTTAAATAATGGGCAATTAGGAAAGTAGCTATATTTAAGTCTTTTATTTTATATTCTGCATAGTTTTAGAATTCAAGTAGGATACTTATTTGTCTACTATAAACAGGATCAATAGTGTGGTATTTTCTTTTATGCAAAACCTTTTCTAGTTTACTTTTGTTCAAGTAATATATTGGTTTCAATTCTTCCATTCTCACGTATTCTTTTTACTTGTTGCATAAGGGTTTATTTTTGCTTGTTATTTACACAAGTTTTCAACCCAAGTAATCTTACACTTGGTATCAGAGAGCGGTTTAGTTGAAAGGGGTGTGATTCGAGGTTGATTAGAAGCAACCCCGGTTTCTTTTAATTGGGCTTGTGAGAGACTAACCGGAGGCGCGGAGTAAACGAACGGGAAGACGTCAAAACGGGTGGCTTTGATTCGGTTCGTTTTGCGGGTGACGGAAGACGCTAAAGGTGGTCGTGACCTTGTCTTGTTGTCTGGTGGAAGAGTGCTCTCGGAACAAGCTTGATTAAAGAAGTCGGGGTTAAGGAGAAAAGGATGTCGTTGGTTAAAGAAGGAGGTTCGTTGACATATCAAGTTCCGGTTTTGACTCCAACGAATTATCCGGTGTGGGCGGTTAAAGTCAAGTCAATTATGGATGCACATGGCATATGAGAGACGGTCGAACTGAAGACGTTAGATAAAACACCGGATCAAAAGAAGTCAAAACAAGCTCTTGCTTTTTTGTTTCAAGCGATACCCGAAGACATGGTGTTGCAAATGGCGAGTTACACCGACCCAAAGCAAGTTTGGGATGGGCTAAAAACACGGTATTTGGGAGTGGATCGGGTGAGAACGGCTCGACTTGCAACCTTAAAAAGGGAGCTTGAAAGTTTACGCATGAAAGAGGATGAAACGGTTGATGATTTTGTGACAAAATTATCCGGTTTATCGTCAAAAGTAAGGGGTCTTGGATATGAGCTTGAAGAAGGTGATTTGGTAAAAAGGTTACTAGATTCGATGCCTAAGTCATTTCTCCAAATCGTGGCTTCAATAGAGCAATGTTTCGAGTTGGATTCAATGTTATTCGATGAAGTGGTTGGTAGATTAAAGGCGTACGAGGAGCGTATAAGAGGAACTGAGAAAGTGGAGAACACTCAAGGTGGGTTGTTGTTGGCTAGTGATGAAAAGTCACATGTTTGTAAGCATTGTGGCAATGGACGTTCAAATCGGGATGACTTTGGATGTGGCCGGGGAAGAGGTCGGGGGTCCAGGAGAAGTCGAGATGGTAATGAACGTGTTCGGGATAAAAGTAACGTTAGATGTTACAGATGTGGTGAGCTTGGTCACTATAAAAACGAGTGTCCTAAATGGGAAAAAGAAGAGGCGGGTCTAATCGAAGAGGAGCCGAAATTGTTTTGAACGAGTGGCTCGTATGACCAAACCGATTAAGGGAGTGATTATTGGGTTAATCGGTTTTATTATTTTAGGAGTTTATTTTGTTTAGTTTAAATAATGGGCAATTAGGAAAGTAGCCATATTTAAGTCTTTTATTTTATATCCTGCATAGTTTTAGAAATCAAGTAGGATACTTATTTGTCTAGTATAAATAGGATCAATGGTGTGGTATTTTCTTTTATGCAAGACCTTTTCTAGTTTACTTTTGTTCAAGTAATATATTGGTTTCAATTCTTCCATTCTCATGTATTCTTTTTACTTGTTCCATAAGGGTTTCTTTTTGCTTGTTATTTACACAAGTTTTCAACCCAAGTAATCTTACACAGGGTACCACTTGCGTTGCGTGCTACTGGAGTAGGACTAACGAGATCAACTACACTGAATCCACTTGATAAAATGCACAGCTTGCCATGGACATCTATCATGAGCTTTCTATACATATCTGTGATAGGATTGTTCCTGTTAGTTACCCAAACTGCCCTATCTTTCAGATCATATATATCATCACATCCGGCACAACACCCAGTGCAATGAATGGTTTTTGGATTCTTGTTGTACAAGTCATCATATCCACCAGAAATTTTGCTTCTTCGGGGGTTGTAGAATACCCCTAAATAAGGGCTTATGCTAGTGTCAAAGCTAAAGAACTTCAAAGTGAACACCTTGTTTGATGAAATCAAATAGTCCCAGTCCTTGAGCTCTTGACCTTGTTGTAAGGTATCTGTTTCTGAGGAACAAGGACGGATTAAAAGATTCCAAGTTAAAGTGACGTAGATGATGAGGAATATACTATTGTTTGCCATTCTTTCAAGGAAGAAGTGGATCGAAAAGATGTGATCGAGTTGAACACATAAGTCCTAACTTTAGACATCAGTTGATTTAATAAGAGATATATCAAGGACATACTTTGACCAATCAGAGATATATCAAGGATAGACAAAATTACATAAATGATCCTTATGGTTTAACAAATGTCACAACTTTAGTTATTATTAATTTTTTTTATGGATGTGATTTTTATGGTTTCTAAATCTTGTATGGTTGATCCATGTGGTTTCATATTATTTGCAAAATTGATCTAAAATTAATAGTGTACCCTTTCATAATTTCATTTTCCTTTTTTTTTTTCAATAAAATTGTATTTAAAATAAATATAAAAAAATAAATAGACACCCGCCCAACACCAACCCACCTCAACCCTAACCTAATCTCATCATCACCCCCTACCACCTTCATCGTCTTCTTCTTCCTCATGTTTTTTTTATCTAAGTATCTAACAATTCCTCTCTTCAACTAATTAGTGATTAATGTCATTGAAATTAATCTCACCGCCTTTGTCCTTCTTCCTCGTATATCAATATGCCCCATGCCATATTCATCATCTTCTCCACCTTGCACCTTCCATCATACTGTAACGTTGGTTCCGATATGTACTTAAATTTACAATGTATTCTAATTTATAGAACAACTCGACGAGTTGGGAGCCTCAAACTCATCGAGTAGAGATTGTAAGGGTCGTGCATTTAAGTGACCTACTCGACAAGTTGAGAGGCCTCAACTCGACGAGTAGGCTGAGGGAAATGAAACCCTAATTTCTAGGGTTTTGTAACCTATTTAAAGAACATAAACTCCCATAACCAGCCCCTCACCAGCCTCCCTAAACCCTAAATCATATTGTGAGCTCCTTGTTGGGAAACTAGAGGGTTTGAGTGGATTTTTGTGTGTTCTTGTGCTTAGTGAAGGACTTGGAAGAGCTTGAAGGTTATAGAGCTTGAGAAGAGACACTAGATCTAGGATCTCACCCGTCTTTGGCAACCTTCTGAGGTATAAAGTCTCAAACATGGTGCTTAATAGCTTAGATCTTTCTTGTTTTTGTTTTATGGATCTTTTAGACCCCATTGTTGGAACATGATAAACCCTCATAGTTGTGATGCTGAAAAATTCCATTCTTAGTGTTAATTGGTCCTAAGATTCATAAAAAGGGGGTTCTAAACCCGTTCATGCTCAAGAAAAGACCATGTCCATAGAAGTAGTTTACTATATCTCGAGTTTAGATCCATTTGAGGCATGCAAAGCCATCAAGTTGTCGACTTTACGAATGTATATAATCGAAAAAACATAGATCTATATTTTGGAACCTTAGATCTGAGGAAAAGGCTTAATAGATTAAGAACTATGAAGAACTCGACGAGTTGGTTCGGTGGGTCTCGATTCTATGAAAAAGAGAAACTTGGTGAGTTAAAGGGGAACTCGACGAGTTGTATTGCGATTTCATGATCTTTCATGATGGATATCTTGATGATATGGATTTTGGGGCCTTTGATAATGAAACAGCAACTGCAACCATAAAATTCAAAAACAGAGAAGGAGTTCTTAGGCTCGTTAGCGCTAAGGATCTTCTAAGATTCAGAGAGAGAGAGACATTCACACTTTGGCCCATCATCAAATCGTGTGTACGAGGGAGATCATGGAGGCTTCTACAAAAGAATTTACAAGAATGGTTGCCACAGTTATCAAGGATAGGCTCTGGATGGGATCTATGGGAAAATATGACCTAAGGCTGTTTGAGATACCAAAAGATTTAAGACCAAGTCTATGCTAACCTCAAACCAAGGGGGATATTGATAGGTCAGAAGATAGTCGTTCAGTCTAGGCATCCATCTTGTATAGGTCTTGGTAGGCTTTTGCGCTTTGTAATGGTGTTTGTAGCTTGTTGTGTGGCTATGTACGGCCGGACTCGTGTGTACGGTCGAACACCCTGTGTGCGGCCGTACATGGGTGTACGGATGTACACGCGTGTACAACTGGTGGTCCTATAAATAGAGTGTGTCTGTATCAATTTTAGGGTGACATATGTGTGTATATCCAAGGTGTACCTGACGGTTTTGTGATATTAACGTGTGCATGCTTGGTTTAATCTTTCCTCTACTCCATTCTTATTCTGATTGATTTCTATATGTTTGATCACTGGTTTGGATCATTGAAATCGGGACTTACACAAGTTTTTATTAGGCATGTACTCATATACAAGGATTTTATATTTTTTCTTAATGCAATACCCTATAAGCTTGACAAGATTAGTGTGTTGAAGTTTGGCAATGAGTTCAATTTCATTCTTGAAATCCTTGAATCCTTGTCCAGAGCTTCTTGAAATTCATTTTACAGCAACCTCTTGCCTATCAACTAATTCGCCCTGAGAAATTAATCCATCACATGCATGGGATTTCATCTGAGAAACGGTCCATGTGTTTACAAAAGTTACAAAAATATTCCCTATCTAATAGAAATTTTGTAGGTTTAGTGCCTACACATTCCTACATGGGCAAGTTTGATCCCCCCAAACAGTGCACACAAAACGATAAAATGATTTATTGTATTACTTTCCATTTTTGTAACTAGAACATAGTAAGCAAAACCTTGCCTGAGAAGCAGGGAGCGGGCAATTTCTAGGTATTTATAATATATTAAAAAAGGTATTAATCACATGGATGGATCCATGTTGTTACATAAACTCCACACCTTAATTTGCCAACTTTTCATTCAAACTCCACCAACTTCTGTTGCTCGGTTTGAGATGGTTCAAGTAATTTTGCACAAGCAGCTCATAAATAGTGGAAGAAGCTTATGTTAATCAACCCCCACGCTTTGTGTATCAAGTTGTTGCGATATTCTAGCAGAGTTTGTAGCTTAATTTCTCCATCCATGTTTTTCTTTTCCCAAGCCTATTTATCAGTCTCATTTCATCTCAATAAATCATCCATGTTTGGTTGATCATCAA